CAGGGCCCGGCACCGATCCGGTAGCCACCGCAGGGAGGTTGCCCCCCGCAGGCTCGACAGAAGGAGCCTTGCGAGCGGCCCCCACCGGGGCGGGGTCCGTTACCGGCACTTCCGTTACCGGCACTTCCATGACCGGTGTGTCCGTGGCCGGCGCTGCCGCGATCACAGGCGGAGAACCCGCAGTGATCGCGTCTCCCATCGTGGGAGGCGTCGAGGGACCGACTGGAAGGCCCTCTCCAAGGACCGGTTCCCCCGGCATCAGTAGGACCGACTCGGTTGACGCGGGCAGAGACCCGATGGACGGTCCGGCGGGGGTCCCGGCGGAAGCAACCGCGGCGCCCCACCCGTCACCGGAGGCGATGACCGCTCCGTACGACGGCGACCCGTGGTCGGGCAGGGGGTCGTACCAGTGGTCGGCCTCCGCCGACGTGCCATCCCAATGCGGCATCCGCAGGGAACAGCCGCGGGCCCAACTGTACCACACAAAGTCGCGGCGCTCCGGGAGGGACCAGTCCAACCGTTCGGAAAAATCGAGGATGGCCTCCGCGCCAACCGGGTCGAACGACGTCCCCTCGAGGATGGCGGCCACCCCGACCGATTGGATGAGCTGCAGAAGCCCCGCCGACAAACGGAAGAGAGAGCCTCGCTCGCCGGGCTCGTTCCCGGTCCGGCTCGCTAGGCGAGGGTCCGGGCACTTGGTGAAGAACGGGAGGCCGTCCCGTGCGGCGTGTAGGAAACACAGCAACGCCAGGACGGCCCACTCCGAGAGCAGGATGGCGTCGATCAGTCGACGCATCCTGGGCATCGCTTCTCGCCCGAAGGAACCGTCCGGCATCCACCGCGCTGCGGCATAAGCCAGCACGCTGGGCGTGGGTACGCAGAGGTACTGCGGAGCTTCCAGATTGCTCCAACCGCTCGGTAGGGCTGGGTATAGCTGCCCCCTGGCCCCTGTGGGCACGGCGAAGAATTCCGTCGTATGCCACATGTGGAAGTAGGCATCGGCGCGGCGGCACCGCAGCCGGCTCTCCTTGGCGGAATTCTCGCCCCACCGCACACGGTTAGCCACGCTGTACCACCGGTCGAACGGGCGGGGGAATGCCACCAACTGCACGTGGGGCTTAGGATCCACGTCCCCGCCGAACCTCTCGAAGAGGTCGAACAACCGCGAATGGTACCGGTCCTCCCCCGCACAGCGGATGTACAGGAGATCCGAGCGGGAGTCCGCCATCACGCAGTGGGGCACGTGGACCCAGCGGGTCCTCCAAGCGGCCGCGCGGTTGTCTTGGCGGATTCGACCGCGAGGGGAGGGCGTACGGATACCCCGTCGCCTGGGGATGGCCCCAAACCGAGCGGCATCGGGGAAGGCCGTCGCGATGTACGCCTCGGCGGACATCGGCGGCTGCGCCTGTGAGGGGTTGCGACCGCCTCGGGGAATCCGGTGGTCTAACTCGGCCCCGGGTAGCAAACCCCGCACGGCACGTACACCCGTCCGGAGCCAGCTGGACGGCGGAGCCTCGGTCGCCGGGGGCGTGGCCGCGTACGGATCCGGCGGTACCGGGTGGTTATCCGCGCCGGCCGTCGCCTGCCCCGCGGCTACAGCCCAGTCGGGGGACCGTCTCATTACGGTCGTCTCGCCGACGTGGGCAGCCGGGGCGGAGCGCAGAGGGCGCGGCAGGGGACCTTGGACGGCGGTAGGGCCGCGCGAGGGAAGGACCCCCGCGCCCGAAGCCCGCACCCGCGGAGCCGCGATGCTCGTCGCGTTTCGACCCCCGGGACCCGCCGCCAGCGCCGGGTGAAAGGTCGGTACCGGCGCGGCTGGCGCCGCAGGGGGCTGAGCCCGAGGGGGGCGACCCCGCTCGGATGATCGGTTATCCATGCGGGGGGAGGACGGTAGGAGGGGGCGAGATTTGGAAGTGGAGGTAATGGGGTGCGTGGTGTGAAGTGAGGTGGGAGAAAAGGAAAGCGTGAGGGGACCCATTGCCGCGCCAGGGGATCCGACGCGGTTAAATACCAAAAACTCCATTGGCTCCCCCATGGAGTAGGCCGCAGCCCGCCCGCGCCCCCGTGGTCGGCGCGGACTTCTCCGTACGGATGGGACACCCTGCCAGCCGGTCATGTCAACCCCCGGCCGCGACGAGGACGTGTTGCGAAGTAAGGAAGGGGGTCTGTGGTACAACTCCACACCGCGACCCCCGGTGGGAGATGAGAACCCCCGAGACGGGCGGTTACTACTGTAGTAATCGTGCACGCGCCCGCTGCGAGCACAGTAGTACCTCCACGGCGTACACGTGACACAACCGTTGGCGCCGGCCGTGGCCACGGGCACACGTGTGCGACCATCCGGTAAGTAATTAGCAATTAGTGGTTAATGGCACAAATTAGCCAATTTAGTACAGTAGCTGGTATACAGTATGTAACAGCTACTGTAGCGGGACAGGTGTCCTGGCGTCCCACTGAGGGGTTAAGACCAGGGGCACCTGCCCCGTTCCAGTAAACGGGGGCAGACTCGCCTCCCTTCCCTTTACGGCTTTTTGCTAACTCCGTCCGGTTTTACCTCTAAGTCTCAGGCTTCTAACCCGTGACCGGCCGTCCGGATCTGACACCACCGACCGGCTGCGCGTCACCGGCCACGTGAGCCTTCCCTCTTTTCGAGTCCTTCCGTACGGTTCGCGCTCGTGTGGGTTACCCAGCGTCGCGCGCTCCCTTACCTCTAACCCCCCTCGTTCCGAGTGGTCGGGACGAAGGTATTTATACCACACCTATACTTCGTAAAGTGAGCCTTTGGTCCGATGCAAGCTGCTGTCCGATGCTTGCTGAGTCTGCATATCACATGCTATTACTCCTGGAGGTCCTCAGCATCTTGGCAGTAAAAAACACTCGAAGACTGGGGCCCCTCTTCTTTAGGCTCATCAGCAGATGATTGAGGAGGCGCTCTTTCCTCCAAAACAATCAAACGGTCTAGCTCTGCCTTCTGCACGCGCTGGAAGAAGATAAGCTTTCGATGTGCAGGGGTCCCCTCCATGCTGAACAGACGCAAGCGGTACTGGCGCTCTTCGATGGCGACGAGGTTCTCCGCAGTCTTCGCTAGCTTCACAGCGGCATCAGCCATCCTCGCCATTGCAGCTGCACCATCCTCGAGTGCCTTTGCCTGACGATTGCGTACGGCCCTGGCCTCTATTCGTGCGGCCCCAGCAGGCCGCTTCTTCCTCACAGCGGCGTCGGCGCTCCCTCCCGAGGTCTCATGAGACTTAACAGCCTCAATCTCTTCCTCGAGCACGATGTCGGCCGCAGGTGACGGTGCGTTAGTCACAATCGCAGATCTAGGACAAGTGCGTGCAGCGAATATCGCACCCATGATGGACGACCAGAGATTGGTGCTGCGAAGAAACGAAAACGCTTTGAGGAAAGGAAAGTAAGCTCCAGGATCTGCAAAGTCCCGGGCAACGTATGCGTAGACGTTGGAGAAGGATGCTCGCTTGTTAAACGCCGCAGTCGTGAAGCGCATAAAGTCTTCCACTGAGAGATCACCTGTACGCTTGAGGGCTTTCGCCGATATGTAGAGGCCCTCAAAGGCCAAGTACTTCTTCTTGACCAGCTTGTATCGCTGCAGGATCGCGCAGCCAGTGCGCTCCTTCATTTAGATACTTTCATCGCAGTTCGCGTCGCGGTCGTCGCACATCTGTTGGTACTTCTTCCCGACTTGCGCCTCGAATAAACTCCGCTTCCTCCCGGCGCCCTTAGACAGGTCTTCGGATGCTTGCACGAACGCTTTGGCAGCGAGGAAGCTCTTCAACGAGCTCCGTGGTTTGCTGGAGCCCATGGTTGGTGCAGCGATGCATCGAGTTGGCGACCAGACGCGGTACCTTTTGTCGATTGTGGCAGTTGAATGCAAAGTAATCATCCCGCGCAATTGTGCGGCAAGAATACGGAGTGCTCATCCCGCGCAATTGTGCGGCAAGCTCTCTCATTGGCCAGGGGTGACTTCTTTTGGCGGTAGCCCTACCCGCCAAAGAGCCTCTCAGCGAAGGATACAGATGAGGCCAAATCGTAAACGATAGTAGTATTTTCGCTGGATACAATTCAGCCCGTTGGATTGGATTCTCAGAAAAGGGATCCAGATATTCCATATTTGGACCCACCTTTCTGGGCTCCAATCCAACTTGTTGGATTGGATTTCGTTTTTCTCATGGGTGGGGTACCCTTTCGCAAAATAAGATCCAACGATTGGATTGGACCCGGATTTTCTGCACCGGTGGGGACGCTCTTAGTAGTAGCCGCGCTCGTTGCACGCAGCGGCGGAGGAAAGGAGTTGCGAGAGCGAGGGGGATGGGGATACTTCGGATGACGAGTCTCGAGACTTTTCGCCGGCGCTGTCGGAGGGTAGCAAGTTACCCCCGAGGGTCGGTCGGGATACCGCCCTCGGATTTTAATATATCCGGATTCCCGCCGGCGCGTCGAACGGATAATTTCCCTTTTTCCCAGATTTAGGGCTAACCAAATAAACTGCAATTTCTATCTTCCCACACACACACACACACACACACACCGTACAACGCATGAAGCCTTCGTCCTACTGTACTCGTTTTCGAGTTGTTGTCCTGTACCGCTTCGTCCTTGCCCTTTCCATTACTCCCTATGGTAACTATCCCCCCCTCCCTCAGGTCCTCAGTCATTCAATTTCTCCATTTCGTTACAAGTTCAGCCAAAAGTGTGACTACCAATAGTGATACATGTCGACGTGTCGAATTTTTAATTCAAACGACTGAAGCGAATGGTGAATGAGGCATGTCCACGTAAGCTTTCCGGTAGACGCGAATCATGGGTGAGTGACAGAATCAATCTTGAACTTTTCTATGGTGTAGGCAATTATTTTGGACTTCCCCTTCCTTCTGGGTATGAGCTGAGGATGTAATCCAGGGTCCACTTGCTCCATCAAACACAAGCGAGGACAAAGAGCAAAAAAGGGAAACTAAAGAAGCATAAATATAAGATATGGAAGATGCTACAGCTAAGAGCTCCCGTGCGGAACGCATAGTTTACAAAACCCCTGTCACAAATTCCACCATTCCAATTAGAAAACCAACAGAACAAAATGTTACGATAAAAATACAAGATACATGTGCAAGCCCCCACCGCGTTTGTCGAAAATATGAGCTTAGCACAATCGAGCGATTTTCTTCCCCTTTTCAGTACAGAAGCAAGAGACCTTTGCCCATATCCCCGTCACGTTTGTCGTGAGACAATGCACATCGCATGGAGGCTACGAAGCCTGCTCACTCGTGTCCTTATCCGTGATGCTTTCGGAATCATCAATTCCTGACTGTGGTTTTCGTATATCCTCGCCGATAGCATCAGAAATCTTCATCGAGTTTTCTAGGATGTTCTTCGTTCGGAGATTCTGCTCTCCCGGGATGAATTCCATGACAGAAATCCATTCTTCCGCAATTGCCTGACGAAGCTCCATAATTTGAAGAGCGATGCCCTTCGGTTGTATGACGAATTCCGGGTTGGTGCGATTTTCAACAGGGCGCTCCATGAGCATTCGAACGAGCTCATCGCCGTCCTTGATTGCACCGTACGAGCTCATAAACTGGAGAAGGTACATGTACTCGTGGTTAGAGCCGCAATCGCGAGTGTATGGCAAAAGCCTGGCAACAGCATGGCCTGTGACGAGTGTTTTCAAAGCTTTGTAGTTCTTGTACCTAAGCGGAGTGTGATCGGTGGTGAACGGGTCCGAGTCAAATACAAGATTCCTCTTCGAATTAAGCTCCTTCTCTGAAGAACACAACATCTTCTCAAAACCAAGCCTCTGAATCTCGAGGTTTTCATGCTTGATACATCCGAGATCTTTTGCCCATTCTCTGGCAAGTTGCAGTTTTACATCCGTAATTCTCTTGGCAATCCTATTAGGTTCGATGGTGAAATAATATTTCCTGCTTATTCGTGAATTACCAATTCTCAGGACGCCCTTCTCGTTCTGTGCTCTACTCATACGGTCAAGATAAGCATCCCCATCCATAAACTTGTCCTCCCGAACTTTTTCGTCGAAGGCATCGAAACTTCTCAGCCATGTACGTCCAGGCCCATCCCCGAGCTCATGCATGTAGTATTGGACAGTGTTGACTGCCCGTCGTGTCAGAAAATCGCGCAGAGTTGCCTCTGCATGACGCTGGAGGTAGGTGTTGCTTGCCGGCGTATCGAGGACCGCTGTGGTCACGTGGACAACGCCAGGCGTACGAGTTGGAGGTGGCTTCAACCGAAGGGATGAAGTAGAGGACTGATGCGACACCGAAGACCTAATACCTAAGAATGAACATACAGGCGCGAAAGCAGGGCTCGGTGGTGACATTGCAGGAAATAAGCAGTGAGGAGAGCGGACGCCGGCGAAGACAAAGCTGAGGAGCGATGGCCTTTGAGAAGGGAAGATTGTGTTTTGGGGGTTCGGATATATTGTCGGAGGGACGGGTGGAAGAAGGATTCGAAATGCTTTGAGTGGGATATTTATTGAAGTGGTGGCGTGTGCACATTCATCGAACAACGCAGGCAGGTGTCGACAAGCGCAGAAATTTGCATGAAATGCGACAATATAACCATGCAAAATCATTGGCTGTCACATGACGCTCCCGATATTGAATACCTCCCAGGCCTTCGTGGCCGCACACACGCACACGTCGCTTCTTTGCAGCGAAGGAAGGAGCGCCGGGGACCCGACTCGCTTGTCCGAGCGAGCACTACCCAATTCGATCCTAGCAAGTGCCTTGAGGCTGGAGAATTGGGTTTCGTTGCGACAGGCAATAAGAGTTGCGGACGTGTTGCTACGTGAATGCCTGTTCGAACGAAAATATCGCAAGGCAGGAGCTTTGCTCCTCCACTAGGCGTTGTGCATGATGTCGCTCTATCTACACGCGTCGAGAACACATGCGCGCAGAAACAGAGAAACATGGCGGCCGTCGCGATGGGGGTGTTGAGTGCGGTAGCCTGAGTACTCTCGCTTGCCTGATTGCATGGTTGAGCGCTGTGGCGTTCATGTCCACATCCAGGAATTATCTCCTTTTTATCAAAAGCTGCCCTATTAGATACTGCAAACAAGGTGCTTACAGTGAAGTACGCAAGTAGGACGGTGCATACATAAAGCCTGCCGACGTGGAAGATGCCAAGGCTTGTACTGCCATTCACGTCTTCTTTCACTTGTCCTTGAGGTGGAACGTGGAGGTCCAGCGCAGCATGCTGGCCGTCGCCTTCATGCAATACACGTCACTCCTATCCAGAGAAGGGATCACTCCTATCCATTCTCTGGTATGAATCCGTCTTTTCGACGTGCCGTATTCTTTTTTTCTGTTGCTGCGCAGAATTGAGACAAGACGATTGTGGCTTTTGCGTACAGTACCCTTGGTACTGTACTGTATCTAATTTTTCCCTACTCGTGAAGTACTACAACTCCCTACTCGTGAAGTACCCTTCTCACAGGCTCAATCTGTGACAAGGCTCAAATTGTGACACCAAAATTATAATGCCGCGCCGCATAGTTTCGCGCATATGATTTTGCTAAACTATTTCGCAACGAATTAAATATATTCGTTTGATGAAACATATTCTCATGCTCTTACAAACGGTCAGTTTTCTGCTCATGCTTTTGCAGAGGTTTCCGTCGCTCCCAATAATGATTATGTGTTGCGCAACATTCTGAGAAAGAATATATGCCTGTCAAAGAACCCCACACCTAAGAAATCTAATAGAAAATTCCTCGCAACAGGAAACGCAGCGACGGTTGGCAATTTGCAGTCTGTTCGTGCTCGTTTGGAGGGGCGGAATCCTCCAAAAGCGCCCGTACCCAACGTTTATCACATTCAGGAGTTTAATGTAGAGAATGATACTGCAAACAAAAAAAAATTGACTCTCAGAAACGTCTGAAAGCGCAGTCTGCGGTGTCGCCTCTCGAAGACATAGTTTGCGACGACTTGCCACTTTCGCAATGGCCAAGAGCCCGAAAACAGCGGATGCAGGTTGAGGAAGGCGAGTTGTTGAGGACCCGCAAGCACACGGCAGCGTCGGCTTTGTTGGGTCTCTCCCATTACAGATGAAGCGTGCAAGACATGAAATTTCTCGTCGTCCCACTTTGACCCTGGCACACTTTGGAGACCAATTCTCCCGTCCAAATAAAGGCAATTTTCTTCGAATACGCACTGCATTCGCATATTTATCATAACTTCTTATGCGTCTCACATTGAGCCAGTGAGAAGGGTACTGTACTACAATTGACCTTTCATCTGCGACGTGAATTAAACTGAATTCTAAAAACTTGTATTCCTTCTCCCGCCCTTCAACCGCTCTGTGAAACCAAATCCTTTCGAAGTCGTTTCAACTCAGAAGATTTTTCTCTAGCTTTGTATCGGGTCCTCTGGTCTTCTGGTCTTCTGTTGTCAAATCAGCTCTGCTAGAAACAGTAGCTTTGCTAGCCGTACCCCAACTACAACCATGAAATACAGTATGATGCGTTCCAAGGGCCGCCCAGTCTGAAATGTGTCTTTACGCGCGCCGCTGTAAGGCTTTGCGCAAGCCACACATCATTCTCCAGCTACTTCGAAGTAGCTCCTTCGAAAAGCAATGACAAAACCTACGATCGGGGTTTTTGTACCGGTCTCCACTGAGAGCTGTTGCGACTCTCCCGTAGAGACTGACATCAAGGCCCGCCTGCAATTATCGCTAACGTATCTGTATTCAAACTGTTTGATTGACAGACGACGTGCTTGGTATATTTATGATGCGAAAAGGATTTGTAAACTGCACAACTGTATTCTAAACATCCGAGAGCTGGTGCTGAACCAGATCGGCGTAGTGGCCGTTCTTTCTAAGTAGCTCACCATGTGTCCCTGACTCTACAATGCGACCTTTCCGCACGACGGCGATTACATCAGCATCCTTGATCGTCGATAATCTATGTGCGACAACAATTGTTGTCCTACCGTCGGAAGCCTTGTCCAAGGCTGCCTGAACTAAGCGCTCACTTGCGCTGTCCAAAGCGCTAGTAGCTTCGTCAAGCAGCAGAACCGGAGGAGCTCTAATCAAACTCCTCGCAATTGCGACACGTTGTCGTTGTCCTCCACTCAATGCATCGCCGCGAGGTCCTACTACTGTGTCATATCCTTGCGGAAGAGCAGACACAAACTCATGGGCATTGGCCTTCTTGGCAGCCTCGATAACATCTGTCATTGTGATCGGTGTGCCGTCTTCGTGGGGAGCACCATACGCTATGTTTTCAAACACAGACCGGTTGAAGAGTTCAGGTTCTTGGGAAACCAAACCAATGTGGTTTCGAAGAGTTGCCACACGTGCTTTCGAGATTTCATGTTCATCGATGTGAATAGTTCCTTCCCGATAAGAGTAAAACCGTTCCAGCAAGGAGATAATAGTACTCTTTCCATGTCCACTTGTTCCGACGAGAGCTAGGGTCTTACCTCTTGAAACGTCGATAGAGAGACCACGCAAGACAGGCACATCTGGACGGCGAGGGTATTCAAAATAAACTTTCTTGGAGGACACATCACCGGCAACGTGATCAACGTCTTCTCCATCCTTGCTGGTGGGGTCGATCTCGCTCTCTCGGTCCAGAAGTCGGTAAATGTGCGTGGCCCCGATTTGGGAAGCGCCAACATCAGGAGCGAACACGGAAACGTTGCCGAACGTGATAGCAGCAAACAGAATAGCCATTGAAGACAAAAGCATTTCCTTAAACGAGCATCTCCCATCGCGCACGAAGTTGCCACCTGCCTTGAATGTTGCATACCAAAGCAAGTACTGGCAGAACTCAGAGAAACCGAAAGCGATAGCAGTAACGACAGCTTTGCGCAGCTTATCGCGCCTGGTTTTGTGAATCATCTTGCTATATCGAGAGGCGAAGTAATCCTCCAGTCCAAGAGTTCTAACCGTAGCAATGTTGTCGACAGCTTCAGCTGCAACCACGTTCGCCTGTGCGAAGTCCTTACGGGCTCCAGAGTCAATGCCAGCAGAGGCCTGCATCTCAAAGTAACCACCCAATGCAATTCCAGGAATGATGGCAAGGACAACAAGGGTAAGTTCCCAGCAGTTCACAAATGCAATCGTAAGTCCCGCTACCAGCGCACCAAGCACATTGACACCAACGCCAAAGAGGTCACCCGTTAGACCCTTGATAGCACCGGCATCCGAAGAAAGGCGCCCTGCCAGTGCACCAACAGAGTTTTCCTCCATGTCGAAGTAGCCCATCTCCTGTCTCAGGAGTGCACGGAAAGCATCAGAACGAATGCGCCTCGTCAGCTTCTCTCCTGATACTCCAAGAACGCCGTGCTGGAAAGCGTTGCCAATGAAAGCCACGGCGGCGATGGCGACGAAAGATAGGGCCCAAACCCGTACATCAGATGGATCGTTTTCCGTGAGCATGATCTCAACGAGTTCCGTCAGCGAGATCGCCGCAATTGGCCACACCACACCAACTGCAACGGCACCCAAGATTCCGATGAACATGTAGGAGAACTCACCCTTGTTCATCTTCACGGTTCTCCAGAAAACCCCCTTATCCACAGCTGCAAGAGCCTTTTCTTCTTCTACCGCAAGGGCGTCTCGTACAGATGTAGAATGAGCCGTTTTACTCATAGACTTCTGCGCCGCCAGTACAGGAGCTAATTTTGAATCGCTGTCATCCTCTGTCTCCGCTTCCTTCTCTTTCTGCATTTTATCCCGTTGGACATTCTGCAGATCATGAACGGCACGGTAAAAGCCTCCCTCGCGCCTCACCAGCTCATCATGAGGTCCTCTCTCAACCACCTTTCCTCCATCCACACAAGAAATGTTGTCAGCGTTACGGATCGTACTGAGCCGATGAGCAATGGTGACAGTGGTCCTGCCGGCAGCAGCCTTGTCGAGGGCGTCTTGGACCAGCCTTTCGCTAGCTGTGTCAAGTGCGGCGGTTGACTCATCAAGAATGAGAAGCTTTGGATTGCGAATCAGGGCACGAGCGATACAGACTCGCTGTTTCTGACCGCCACTCAGCATCGCACCGCGCTCCCCAAGCATTGTGTCATAGCCCTCTGGTAGCTTTATAATGAAGTTGTGAGCGTTTGCGAGCTTTGCTGCTTCAATGATATCGTCGTTTGTAACTTCGCGGCGGGAAAAAATCTTCTTTCCGGTGATTGGGTCTGTCGAAATATCCAGGCCAGCACCGAGTGCAATATTATCCCGGATGGAAAGCATGAACAGAGATGGCATCTGAGCCACAACACCGATCTGGGAGCGCAACCAGCGGACATTCAACTCCCGGATGTCTACACCATCTAGACGAACAGACCCTGCGATAGGATCATAAAAACGCTGAATCATCCTGGCGAGAGTACTCTTTCCACATCCAGATTTGCCCACGAAAGCCTCAGAAGTGCCTGCCGCGATATCTAAATTGAAGTTGTCAAGTACGAGGGCGGAGACCCCTTCCTCAGTGATTCTCTTCGGATAGTTGAAGTCGAGGTTCTCAAAAGTAACGTGCCCGGTGGTTGGCTCGGTAGGGATGAGTCCGTCGTCATTTTGAGGGTCGATCTCGCTGATGCGGTCAATGATCTCGAAAACTCGTGGAGCAGCCGCACGGGCGACACCGAAAGACTTGATAGCTGGTCCTGCAGTCCCTAGAGAGCTGGCGCCAAGGGTGATGGCAAAAAACGTGAGAAGAACATCACCTGGAGACATCTCGGGTTCTATCTCGGGATCAGAAACACGAGCCAGGTTTGCACCCACAAAGAAGGCGAGACCATACGTGCTTAAGATGCAAAACATGGCAGTTCCCAAGCCAAAGCCCGAGGCAATTGCGGCTTTAACGCTGGCGATGTAAGCCTTGTCGAGGCTCTTTTCATACCTACGGAGCTCATCCTCCTGACCACCAAAAGCGGTGACTGTACGTATGAGCGAAAAGACTTCCTGAGCGACACCACCAGCCTCTCCGTATGCACCAAGACCGTCACCAGTGGCGTCGGCTGAGGCGTTTCCAAAGACAGCACCGGCGACAAGAAGAATGGGAGTGACACCAAGGATCAGAAGCGTAAGCTTCCAGCCGTATGCAAAGCCAACAATGACGCCTGTGACGAACGTGGTGAAATACTGGACGGCGGTACAGAGCTTGTCCCCTATGCCGCCTTGAATGAGATTGACGTCTGAGATGACGATGTGTGTGAGAGACCCAGCTTCGCTATCATCATAAAAGTTGCAATCCTGTCTGGTAAGGTTGTCGAAAAACTTCTTCCTAAGGTCATTACCGATGCGATTCGCGGCTATAACTGAGAGACTCAACTGGAGAAAAGACAAGGCGAAAGCGACGATTGCAAGGTACAGGAAGAGATTAACCTTTGATGCAATGCTGTCCGAAATATCGATGTCCGATTCGATGGCGCCTGCCGTCAAGAACGGGCCGAACTGGTCGACGACATCGCCGAAGATGACAGTGAGGATGGGGAGCAGGGTGCCGTGACCAATTGCTGCTAGGAGCGCCAACCCCAACATGAGTTTATCTGCGTTGGAGGCGTACCGGAAGAGCCTGATGTAAGGAACGGGAGGGTACTTCCTCTCTTCCTCGGGCACCTTCTCCTTGCGTGCCCAGAACTTCCATTTCGGAGGGGCGGATGAGGGCTTGAGATCCGAGTCCCCTGGTTCCATGGTGAATGGCGTGCGGAGTGCAGTGAGAAAAGATAGTTTCCGGTTTGGTACGAGGGGACAAGCTTTAGACGCCCGGTTTGTTTAGGGACTGTATATATACCGTAGAGTGGAATTCTGGCCCCGAGACCCGGCGAAACGAATCGAAATGGGCTTTCGTTCTGCCCGCGCGATGTCGCTCGGAAAACGTATGCAGTTGTTTCTCTCTGGACGATGTCATCTCTTCCTGTACCGCACCATGCGCCAGCCCGGCTCTACTGAGTGGCCAATCTCCCGGACACCACGTTTTGCATTGATCGTCAACTACTGCACTGTACGTGCACCCAGGCGTCGTTTTGATGGCAATCCCCCGCAGCGGTCGTTCAATGCATGCGTGGCGATTTTGCCTCAGCCAATCACATTCCCATCCTCCGCCATCATGGCAATTCACATTTTGCATACCTCGGAAGTCACCATCTCATTCGGCGCAGTCGTCCAAGTATGAGACCGGTCGTCTGTTATTAACAGTATCATTGGCTGCCCACATCCTCTTGCAGCGCCAATCCGCGAGGGGCTCCACTGCCATGGGATCGCCCAAATCAGTTGCTGCGCTGTGGAGTCTACCCGTTTTGCCCCCATTTTGAGGATTCAAAGCACCACCGGGCCCCAATTGGTTCGCTGCTGCCTTATGCGGTATCGTGAGCCTGCGCCGGGGCGCCAGCACAGCATCACCCGAACTCAAGTTAATGACCTCCCTTTCTATGCAGCGCCAGCCTCCATCCCGCGCACGCACACGCCGCGGGATGGCGCTACGGGATGGCAGTGCCATCCCGGTGTGGGTCCCACACCAGCCAAAGCTGTTTCCTGCCGTGACTCATCACGCTCGGGAGCCATTGCAATCTTGATTGAGCTCATTATTCTCCTCGTCGCAACGTATGCACGCTGCTTGTCGAAGCTGTCAGACCTCGCTTTCGTATGTGCTGCTGTGACACCGACTCCAAGCACGCGTGAGAAAGAGTACAGCACACGATCCCCACGTATGGCTGTTTTTGCTAATAAAAGTCCAGCTCCCCTGCCGCGTTCTTGCATCTCTACTGCTCTTCGCTTCTGACTCACATCCGACGTCGTCTTATTTCTGTACCAAGGGCACGTTACGATACCGTCCCTGTACCGTAGTTAACTTGCTGTAGTTCCCGTACTTCTCGTTTACAACGCACAACATTCAAATTCCTCTTCCACGCCTATAGTTGGCCGACACAGCCCTAGCGCCTCCCACATACAAAGTGCTCTTGCCCCCGCCCGCCCTGTTTCCACCCCTGACCCACCCCTGACACACTTATGTCATGGGGCATAAACGTTCCATCTCCGACGTCTCTCTGCTGTAGAAAGTGAACCTCATTTGTCCATTCGACAACTTTTTCCGTCCCAGGCTCATTTCCCCGATCCGCCTGAAGGGTAGGCGGTGTCTGATTGTCAACGAGTGTCTTTCCACACCCCTCCACTCGGCACATCCTAGACAGTCCACACCCGAGCCCTGTCTCCTACGACGCAGGTACCAATACGGCGCTACACAGTTTTTTGGGAACGACGGCGGAGGGGATATGGGCTTTGGACCACGATTTATCTCAATCCAAACGCCTGAGAGCATCTCTACCGGCAATCAAAAATTTAATCTACTTTAACGCATGAAAGGGGAAGGCTGTGAGACGACTGCTCCAGACGGAACCAGAAGGCCATAGTTGAGCTAGCGCTGGGCTTGGTTACTTGAACCACCCGCGGCCGCTTTGTTGCTGGCCCTCCTCGTCTCCGAGAATCTGGATCTATTTCGTCTCTTCTTACCAGACGATGCGATGAATACAACCAGGCGCAAATCAGAAACGCCCAGAAATGTACCACGATCCCCAATGCAGGCTTTCACTGAGTCCGCACTCAGGCGGAGGAGAATTCATCCATGCAATCGGTGACTGTTTGATGCAAAGACAAGACAGAAGTACTACGAAGGATGTTTGGTGTGCCTTCAAGTGTTGCAACGAATACCCCATGGGGCAGGCTAAGACGAGCTCGAGGGTAGCAGGCCCAGATTTTACGTGGCGCAAGATGACCTTTTCGCAATCGAGATGCTTTTGGGCATCGCGAAAGTTGCGGATACGACGCGGCAGGTCGCCAGTGCAGGCAAAGCGGGCTGCATTCGCCTCGACGTGACGCCAGTACTTGGAAGCGAGCTCCAGGTCGCCGAGAACATGGATAGCGTTGCATATGGCAGAAGGTATGCAGAGTTCGGGGTCGTCACGAGACCTCACGATGCCTAACGACGGCAGACAGAATAGGGGCTTGAGGCTGTTAGATCTACGTCCCGCCCGTGGAGCATCTTACAGGCCCAACCTGAGTTGCGGGAACAAAATAGGTCGACGGCCATGTGTGCAAGGACGCGATCTCGACCCCCGAACTGGAAGAGGTCGTCTTCCACTCGGTGCTCAGTTCTCTCTCCGAAGCCGATGATCTTGAGGGTGTAAAGTAATATGCGGTGCCTCTGCTTGGGGGCCGGATCAACGCCGTAGTATGTTCCATCTTGGTCCAAACAAATCTGTTCGATATCCTGTTCGTCCTCAGAGAAGGTGCGGTACCAGTGGCAATCACTGACGGACTCGGTTAGGCCAAGCCGTTACGCATCGTCACAAGTTACTTCTACGGTCGCCCTCCAGACTAAGTAGTCCTTGATGTAGTGACTGAGAAGTTTTACAAATTCTTGAGCCGTGACGCTGTAGCGACGGCTACGCCCCCTTAACCAGATGTGGAAGTTAGCACTATCAACCGGGAAACAGGGGTCCGCACGACTTTCTCAGGGTTCGGCCTCGAAGAGCGTTCTTAAATCATTAGGTCTCTCCCGTAACGCGTTTGACGTGCAGCGGCCGGTGCAATCTGTTTCCTTGGAGCCTTGTCGCCGGTACTCCTCCTGGCTGTATGCTTGGTTTTGGCCATAGCTCCTTTCGTGAGAAAGAGAGAAGGGAAGGCGACAGCGCACGGGGACTAAAACCCCACCTGCGCGCAACTCGAGCCTTTTGCGCACGAGGAAAGAGGAGAGTGCACGGGTACTATAACCCCACCTGTGCGCTGCACGACTCTGCGTGATCGGGACTGCGGGGCAAAAGCACGGGAGGGGGACGATGAGCTGAAAGACCACCGTGTGCGGGCGAGGAGTACAGCCGAGTAGGAGTCCGAAGAACGCAGGAAGAAGATTATGAGCTGGAAGACCACGGTATGCGGGCGACGAGTAGAGTCGGGGATGAGTACAAAGAAATCTGGAGCGACACGATGCGTTGGAAGAGAGGAGATGCTGATGGTGTGTGGCAGAGGGCGACGCACTCTTCAGTACCTGGGCGCCACCCGGATCTGGGCGGACTGGAAGCAACAAAACCTCCAAAATAATGGTGCCCGGCGGGCCCGCGGCTTGGTATGGAAAGGGGGCCGTGTGGCTCGGTTTTATGCGATTACAAAACATTTGATTTTAGAATTGTAATTGGTTTTATTGAAAATTAGGGAGTGTTTTGGAGCCTTCCAGACGCTCGAGGGGAAGCGATAGAAGGGGAAGCTCCATGCCCTGGCCTGGGAGGAAAAAGGTAGCTGAGCTAAGGAAGAAAACGTGAACAAAAAGTAAGGCGAACAGACTGTAGTAGGACGCGAAACGTGGTCACGTGCCAAAACAGGGGTCGTTTGAAGGTTCGTGTACTATGTAGCTAGGGGAAGTGGTAGAGGCTTTCGGGCGACTGTAGAACCTAGTTGTGCTCGCGAACCACGGAAACTAGAAGCGAACGACGCGGTGCTCTCGGCCCAGCGGGGCTAACACACGGCCAGCGAAGCGTGCGCGCGAGCGGGAAGGCAACACGTGACGTGGCCAAGAGAGTCCTAGGGCGCGAGCGAGGAGAACGAGAGAGCGTGAACGAGAAGAAGTTAGTTAGTACCCCGCAAAACCAAGAACGAGAGTCGCGTCCTTGGTCCTTGGTTCCTTGTGCCCAAATCCACCCGGCGCAAGCACTAACGACACTATATACTGTACTTAGATCGTGGATCGAGATGTAACGGTTAGAGCTCACGGGGCCGTGTTATAGTACACACGTGTACAGGCGCGGTAGTAAGTCCACGTGTGCGCGTGTCGAAAGACAATGTCGAAAGGCGGGTGTAAATGGGCTTAGTTATCAGACGCATGAGACATGGTTACACGTGCGCAAGGAGACAGTGAGCGGGATGTCGCAGGCGGGCACGATCCTCCTTCCGTTGGAGTTTGGGTGGGAAGCGGAGCTGCACGCAACCTTGGCAAAGGCAACAGGATACGGCACCAAAAGGATACCTCCAGGTCGTCGAGACTCCCTTTCGCGCAGGGCAGCTCGCTCCACCTGTATTTATTTCTCTCGACCCGGGCCCTTCGGCCGCTCCTCGCACCCCTTCATCCATCTCGTAGTTCTATCGTCAGGTCGAAGCTCCTCGCGTTCGCACCTCGAATCTACTTCGGAGTCTAATTCTCGAATGGGATTTTCATTCCCATTCAGCTCGCTTTCCCGCACTTTCGTCTTCTTCACGTTCTTTGAACACGCAGCTGAAAGTGCACATCCCTGGAACGACACTGTCTGACATCCGCAAACCTGGATACCTTGCCAGAGATACATTCTGTCCACGTATCCCACGTGTGTATCTTACATTAGTACTGTACGTCAGGGTACTTGATGTATCTAGATACACATGTACGCGAGTCACGCGAAAAATAATACTAGAGTGGTACGGGTTTATACCACATGGCCCCCCCTCAGACGTGGACGCCCCTGTCCACGCCAGGAAGGGCTGCCACCTGTGTCCGTGATTAGGGGTGCAAGTACACGTAAAAAGCGCGGGATACAGTTTTAGCTCGTGATGGCACGGTAGATAGCGTGATTATGAACGCGGAATTTGTGCACGAAATGTGGTGGTCCTCTGTGTCACGTGTTTTTTCTCGATGTTTCAGATTTCCCGCGAAAACAATTTTGCCCGAAATTTTGTGTATGATAAAAATATCTTGCAGCGCGTCCAACAGACTTGATGATTTTTCGTTTTGCACGGACACACCGGCGTCCCTGGATTATAGGGTCGCACAGTGCGTCGCGATGAGCGTGGCGCCGCCCTCCGCATCACGCTATTATCACGAAAAACGAGCGAGCGTGGTTCAAGAGCCAGATCTTGTGGTACGGAGTGGAACATGGTTCGAGGTAGTCGGGCAGGCGTGGGCTCGTCGAGACGCACAACTGAGCAAGGCGAAGAAGGTCTCACGGGTGTCGAAGTCGCGGTCCTGACAGGCGGGAAAGGGGAGGTGACGAGCTTTGGGCATACCGGTCCGGCACACCTCGGGGCCGCACCCGTTGCTGGCGTCGACGCGCTTGCATCCGTGGGCGTGGCAGAAGATCGTGAGGTGAGTGTGGGAGGCGCCAAGGATCCTTGGGCTCGTGCGCTTCGTGGAAAATCCTTGCAAACACGGAGACGAGTGTTCGAGACGTGGAAGTTCAAGAACCGGAAGGCCTGCTTGGGACCCCGACACGAATGGGAGTCTAAGTCACGAAGACTTGGGGGAAGGCTGGTCGCAGTATACGAGGAAGTCTGGCTCGTTTTCGTGGGATGACTTGGTCAACACGGGAAGACGGGACGCGCAGCTAATTCGCGATTGCACCAAGGACGAGAGTGTTTGGTCGGGGCGGCCACGTGCTCGGTGGCTCTCGATCTTTGCCACCGGGTACCAGATTCCAAGGAGCTTGGTATCAGATCGAGTTTTCGCGGAATCTAGCTCTGATGCGTCGTACGTGACTGCGATGAACAAGCACTTGCGTGGTGATCTCGACAAGCCGCCCATCACGTCGCCGAGGATTTGGAATTACTCGCTTCCCTCCGTGGAAACTTCGAGGGCTCGTGCCCTCATCCAAGAGTATCGTTGTACGTGGTCGTTGTTCGTGGGGTTCAGGTCGATCATCTCGTTTACGGGCTACGATGTCCTTCGCGTGAATGACAGTCCCGGTTCAAGGTACAAAGTATGCACGGTGCAAGGGCGGCAGAAGCTCACGCTTTTTCACGGATCTCCGACTTGGTTGCCGCCTCCAGAAGTGGCACTCAGAGCAACTGGCGTTCACGGGCTTGCCATCAAGATTCCTCGAGTCCTTCACTATATCGGTAGTGCGTGCGCCAGTCTTCACGATTTCCCGGGAATCAGAGGCGTCGGTCGGCGGTTGGAATCGTGCAAGCGTCTAGAGATGCTTCACGCCACGATTTGTGCACGACGAGTTTATAAACGCGGGTATCGTGTGGATCTTGAGTGACGAATGCTTGGAATTCTTGGAATCTTTCGAATTCATCCCGCCTTTGAGATACGAGCGCGGTGCCCAAGTCTCCGAGATTAGGCGAGAGGATCAGGTCAAGATTTTGAAGGAGGCACGGAATCTCGATGCTAGTTATTTTTTTTACCTAGGGTGTTTCCCTCTCAAGTCTCCGAGTCGTGGGCATTCTTCTTCAATGGTTCCTTCGTGAGGGCGTCGAGTTACACGGGACCGAGTTTAGGTGGCTTGTGTAGAGCACTGACCGCCCCTCGTAATCGCGGTGCTATACTGTAGCACACGCAGAATGCCTCACTATCATAAGTGAGGTATGTACCACGTGTAACCGTGTATCCAAACCCCCGCTCGTGTCCGGGTGTAAGCTCCATGGAGCCCTGTCGACATACTGACAGTTCTATCCACGTGTACCCGTGTTATTCCTCACGTTAATCGTGTCATTCCCCACGTGTAGTGGTTGTCATACCTCCCCAAGAGGAGTTTCTCCGGCCATCGCCGCCGTCGTCCAATTTAGTAATTTTAGTTTAATTAATTATCGCCCGGACGTCGGCTAGTACATAGCCGACGTCCGACCCTAAGTAAATCCTCACCAAGCTTTGGGTCTACAACTCGGGTTTCTGGAACGGAGTCGTAGCCTCGCGTCGGTCCCCGTCCCACGACGGTACCCTGGGAGCCATTTACGTCCCGATTCCCTCCTGCCTCTACCGCACGCGTCGTCCCGCCACGCCCGGCCCTCCGCGCGACAGCTGTCCCTACCGCTCCGCCCCTCCTGGGCTCTGTTTTCCCACTTTTTCCCTTACTTTCCCTACTGCGTTTCGCGCCCGGCCCCGTACCGGTCCCTTACGGGTGGTCTCCCGATAACCCCCTACACGCGCCCCCGAACGCGCGCGCTCTGCCAGAGGGGGATCCCACCTT